TATATATATATATATATATATATATAGCAGCATTGAGTTTTTTATCATACAAATTTGCACTTTTGTTCTCGCGCTTTTATCATGTGCTTATAATGTGATCATTTGTTTTGCAGTGTGCCATGGGCTTATATTTTTACCTGAAGGAAGTACAGCACGCGGATGACGTAGTTAAGCAGATATCCTGGTTGCCGATAGTCTCGCTAGTCATCTTCATCGCCACATACTGCATGGGCTGGGGTCCTCTTCCGTGGGCGGTGATGGGCGAAATGTTCGATCCGAATGTCAAGGCCAAGGCTTCCGGTATAACGGTTTCCGTCTGCTGGTTCCTGGCCTTCCTCCTTACCAAGTTCGTTAGTAACATCGAGCAGGCGTTAGGCAATTACGCGTCCTTCTGGATGTTCGCAGGATTCTGTTTAGTTAGTGTCCTTTACACGATATTTTTGCTGCCCGAAACGAAAGGCAAGACTCTTCAGGAAATCCAGGATGAGCTCAATGGAGTGACTTCGACCGCAAGCGTTGAGAATGGGAAAAAGTGAGACGGGGGCACTCGGATTTGATATTATCTTGATGGTATATGCTGAACTCGATGAATTCATCAACGCTTTTAAGAGATTAGATATTTTTAAAAAATATTTAAAGTTTTACATTTTTATGACATATCTATATAGGAATCGGATATATTTTATAAAGAAGGAGACTCAAGTAGATCATCAGAAATACGGATAATATGTGTACCTAATCTACTGCCAAATTTACACAGATATAGATAATATGGGTGAAAAAGAAATATTTTTAAGCAATCACCATTCGGTCTTTTGTCTTAATGTCATTTGAATCATAAAAAAAAAAAAGATAAATTATCAACAAACGAGTGATGGTCTAATAATTTAAATAAAAGGTAATTCAGGTATCTAGAGAGAGAGAGAGAGAGAGAGAGAGAGAGAGAGAAAGTAACACGAGGATAGACTGTATTTTTGTTTACATACACACTATTTTGTTATTTTCTATAGAGAATCAAAAATACTTCCAAACACATTTACGTAATACAGCACAGTAATTGTATATGTACATAATGGAAGTCATATCATGCATATTTATAAGTACGCTCGCGTTAATGATATACTTATGTATATCATTGGCTATAAACTTCGTTTTTCTAAGCATGAAGGAATTTATAATATGTCAATAAATGTTTCTACGTTTTCAAGTTCCTGTCAGATCCGTGATTAAGAAACGCAGTAAAGCAACAATATGACTCTCCTATTTATAATATATTACATATCAGGATTTTCCTAGTATTATATATTATTGTGGACGTAGTGTAAAGCGAATGAAAAACCAAAAATATTAATTTCGCAGCGTATTTCTCGTTCACGGATGAGAGACTAGTCATTTTATAATGCGTCTACATAGAGAACGTAATATTAATGACATCAGAAAGATATTAAAATTTAAAAGGAAATTTTATATCGATTATCATTGAAAATGAAATGACTTGACATCATTAAACTTGTCAATAAATTTATGAATTTATATGACGCGAAGAGAAATAGGTAACTTTGTTGTTTTTAATAAATATTGACAATAAAAACAAGCCGTCATCGCTATATTTAGTTATTTACAAAATACATATAATTTATATACAATAAATATTAATATATTTACATTAACAAAATAATTTTGGGAGTAATATCCAAAGATTGTATTATTAGTTGATTTAATTTAAATTATTATAAAAAAAAAGTCATAATATTATCTTAATGAGAGTACTACTTTTAAGTGCACAATACATTTTTTATTAATGACAAAGAGAAATATGAAAGTTTTAATTTAATATTGTTTTAATATAACCATTAAAAATTTTAATATAAAAATAATATAAAAAT